CCTCTACCTAGAGAAATAGTAAAGCAAAAACAATAGCACATCCCTGGAGGGATTGCAGAGATTAGTACCACCATTAAGGACTTGAAAAACTCAGGGGTGGTGATTCCTACCACATCCCCATTTAGCTCTCCCATTTGGCCCATACAGAAGACAGATGGATCTTGGGGAGAGTGACAGTGGATTATAATAAGCTTAACCAAGTGATGACTCCAGTTGCAGCTGTTGTACCAGATGTGGTTTCATTACTTGAGCAAATTAACACTTCTCCTGGTACCTGGTATGTAGCCATTGATTTGGAAATGCCTTTTCCTCCATTCCTGTCCATAAGGCCCACCAGAAGCAATTTGCCTTCATCTGGCAAGGCCAGCAGTATACCTTTACTGTCCTACCTCAGGGGTATATCAACCCTCCAGTTTTGTGTCATAATCTTATTCAGAGAGACCTTGATCGCTTTTTGCTTCCACAGGATATCACAATGGTCCATTACATTGATGACAGTATGCTGATTGGATCCAGTGAGAAAGAAGTAGCAAACACACTGGACTTATTGGTGAGGCCTTTGCATGCCAGACAGGAAATAAATCTGACTAAAATTCAGAGACTTTCTACCTCAGTAAAATTTCTAAGGGGTCCAGTGGTGTGGGGCCTGTCGAGATACTCCTTCTAAGGTGAAGGATAAGTTGCTACTTTGTCCCCTCCTACAACCAAGAAAGAGGCACAAGAAAGAGGCCTAGTGAGCCTACTTGGATTTTAGAGGCAACACATTCCTCATTTGAGTGTGTTACTCTGGCCCATCTATCGAGTGACCCAAAAGGCTGCCAATTTTGAGTGGGTCCAGAACAGGAGAAGGCTCTGCAACAGTTCCAGGCTGCTGTGCAAACTGTTGTGCCATTTGGGCCGTATGACCCAGCAATCCAATGGTGCTTGAGGTGTCAGTGGCAGATAGGGATGCTGTTTGGAGCCTTTGGCAGACCCCCATAGGTGAATTACAGTGAGGCCCTCTAGGATTTTGGAGCAAGGTCCTGCCGTCTTCTGCAGATAACTACTCTCCTTTTGAGAGACTGCCCTTGGCCTGTTACTGGACTTTGGTGGAAAGTGAACATTTGACTATGGGTCATCAAGTCACCATGCCACCTGAACTGCCTATCATGAACTGGGGGCTTTCTCACTCGTCTAGCCATAAAGTGGGTTGTGCACAGCAGCATTCAGTTATCAAATGAAAATGGTGTGTGTGTATATATATATATATATATGTGACTAGGCTCAAGCAGGTCCTGAAGGCACGTTGCTGTGCCCATGCATAGCCTCCATCCTTGCCACCTGGATACTTTGGGCTCCTCCTACCTTTAAGTCAACAGGCTAAGAAGGGAATTAACAGTGCTGGCTGGAGTGATTGACCCGGACTATTAAGATGAAATCGGTCTACTAATCCCCAATGGAGGTAAAGAAGAGTATGCATGGAATACAGGAGATCCATTAGGGTGTCTCTTAGTATTACCCTGCCCTGTAATTAAGGTCATTGGGAAACTACAACAGCGCAATCCAGGCAGGACTACAAATGACCCAGTTTATTCAGGAATGAAGATTTCAGTCACTCCACCAGGAAAAAAACCACAACCTACTGAGGTGCTTGCTGAAGGCAAAGGGAATACAGAATGGGTAGTAGAAGAAGGTAGTCATCGATACCAGCTACAACCCTGTGACCAGCTATGGAAATGAGGACTGTAATTGTCATGAGTATTTCCTCCTCCTCTTGTTAAACACAGTTTGTGCATGTATACAATTGTACTAAGAAAATATCTTCATTTTATTTTTTTTCTCCTTTATCATATGACATAAGATTTATTGACTTCACATCAACATTTAAATATTGCTAACTTTATGAAGTAGTATTTGGATTGGTGTTTGGTGCATTTCTAGTTGCACAAAGGATAGTTGTATTATGTTAGGTGTAATTATGACCTTATTGTCTTTATTTGAAGATTATTATTTCAGGAGATGTATATGGATTCATGTGGACTTGTGATGGTTAATACCGAGTGTCAACTTGATTGGATTGAAGGATACAAAGTATTGATCCTGGATGTGTCTGTGAGGGTGTTGCCAAAGGAGATTAACATTTGAGTCAGTGGGCTGGGAAAGGCAGACCCACCGTTAATCTGGTGGGCACAATCTAATCAGCTGCCAGCATGGCTAGAATATAAGCAGGCAGAAGAATGTTAAAAGAGAGACTAGCCTAGTCCCCCAGTCTACATCTTTCTCCCATGCTTTATGCTTCCTGCCCTCCAACATCAAACTCCAAGTTCTTCGTTTTGGAACTTGGACTGGCTCTCCTTGCTCCTCAGGACCTTGTGATCACATGAGTTAATACTTAATAAACTCCCTTTTATTAGTTATGTCCCTCTAGAGAACTCTAATACAATGGAATACCACTTAGCCATAAAAAAGGAACAAAATTATGGCACTTGCAGCAACCTGGATGGAGTTGGAGACCATTATTCTCAGTGAAGTAACTCGGGAATGGAAAACCAAATATCATTATGTTCTCATTTGTAAGTGGGAGCTAAGCTATGGGGATGCAAAGGCATAAGAATGATATAATGGGGCCGGACGCGGTGGCTTATGCCTGTAATCCCACCACTTTGGGAGGCCGAGGTGGGTGGCTCAGGAGGTCAGGAATTCAAGACCAGCCTGGCCAAGATGGTGAAAGGGGTCTCTACTAAAATACAAAAAAATAAAATAAAATTAGCTGCCCGTGGTGGCGGGCACCTGTAATCCCAGCTAATCAGGAGGCTGAGGCAGAGAACTGCTTGAACCTGAGAGGTGGAGGTTTCAGTGAGCCAAGATCGCACTAATGCACTCCAGCGTGGGCAACAGAGTGAAACTCCGTCTCAAAAAAAAAAATGATATAATGGACTTTGGGGCCTCGTGGGGAAGTGGGAGAGGAGGATCAGTGATAAAAGACTACACATTGGGTACAATGTACATTTCATGGGTGACAGGTGCATCAAAATCCCAGAAGTCACTACTAAAGAACTTATACATATCACAATAAACCACCTGCTCCCCAAAAACTATCGAAATGAAAAAAAAGCCTGGTAATAGTGGTTTCCCTTGGGAAGGGACAGTGGTTTTACTTGTACTATTTAAGTTTTGTACCATGTACAAATATGTGTTCCAAAAGCAGTGTTACTTCTATTCATTTTAGGAGTTAATACGAAAGTCCTGACATTAAATCTATTTAGGCTGGTGATCTAATACTGCTAGTTCCTTGGTGAGGGTTGTGGTAGTTTCACTACCACATCCGTCTTTTTAGTAGTTCACAGTGATTACACGAAGTAAGAAAATGAAATCATCTTAACCTCAGACCTGGACCTTGACCCTGTATTTGATATTTTTTGCTACCTTAAGATAGTGTTAGCTGTTCTTAAAGGAGTGCAAAATGCTCGTTCAGGTGGCTGACACATATTAATAGCCTCCATTTCTTCCTCCTCCTCACAAGCATGGTACCTATCTCCCAAAGTGCCAGAGTGACGATGAGGACTTGTCAAGAGCCATTCATCTCTAGAAGCACTCTGAACTTTAGCCAAGGCATACAACTCAGTTATTCGGGATCTTTAAAGACATTATTGAACCAGCAGGAGTGGGCTTGGTATGTCTTAATTTTGGGGGGAAAAGGGGGTGGGGTAGAGATTTAGGCTTTTGCATTTGTAACATACACTTTTTAGGGAAAAGTGTTAATTAAGCATAATTGTATTTTCAGCATTTATAAGATAAACATGATGTAGCATCAACTGTTCATTGTCCATAGCTTGCTAAATTTTGAGTTGCCAAGACTCTTGTTAAAATTCTGTTTCCCATTGCAGTGGCATAGTGTAAGTTATTTTTTAAGGAAATAAGTTAATTTGTTTATGTGATGAGCACACGTGCAGGTGAGACTTTGCCCAGATTGGAGACTTTGACTTTGAGTCACTCCACTTTATTTATAGAGTATCCCAGGAAGGTTAGCCAAATATGTGTAGAAGCTGCGAGTATTAATAATTGTTAGAAGACCAGCTTAGTGCATACAGCGTACCTGGCATGCTTCTCTGCTTGTGTATACCTTAGTTCATTTAATCTTCCTCATACATTTGAGTTATGCGATATCATTATTCTCAGTTTACACTTGAGAAAACTAAGGCATACAGAGATGATTTTTCAACAGTTCTTCAGTAAGTTAACAGTTAAGTTGAAAAGACTTTTTTTTTAATTTAAAGGGAATATTGAAGCATAAGCTAAGAAAAAATGAAGGTAATTAATAACTTGAAGATTAGATGTGAAGTATTAGATAAAACACTGGAGAAAACCATCAAACTTTTCAATGATGTTTCTAAAAACCCATGCCTAACCTTGCTGCTAAAGGAATTCCAAGATGTTTATCCCTGGATAGAAAAACAATCAGCACAAGTCTGTGGAAAGGCAGTAGGCAAAAGAGAAATCACTTTCCAACCAGAAAAAGCTTTTACAGAAGTCTTCAGATTCTGTGTTTTTAAAAGTAATGAGAATTAACTTTTCAGGAACCTGGAAGTAGAACTCAACACACCTGTTTGAGAAGATGAGCAATGAGAGGCATCTTAGCTTAGCCTGCGAGGTTGAAAGTTAAGACTCAAGTCTGTATTCTCAAACCAGCTTAGTCTCTTAAAGTTGTTAAGAAGCAGATGAGATTAAAGCATATAAACAAATGCCTGGTGAGTAGAAAGAGCTGGGTGGTCACTTGTGTAGCTATTAGTTTCTATATGCAAAGGGCTGGGGAAACAAGAGGATTATGTAAATGAGAAAGGGTCCAGGAAACACCCTTCTGTGGTCCTCTATGTTGTTTCTGAGAGCCTGGCAGATAGTAGGCATTTATTATGGTGACAAATCGTCTTTAAGAAATCAACTTGTTAAACACTGGGGGGAAATGCAGCCTTAAGTTGTGCATGTGCTTGTATGTTTTGAAGTTTCTGGTTTTTCTTTTCTAGGTTCTTATAGAGACTGCTAAGAAGCTAGGACTCCGGTGCCACTCCAAGGGGACAATGGTCACAATCGAGGGACCTCGTTTTAGCTCCCGGGCAGAAAGCTTCATGTTCCGCACCTGGGGGGCGGATGTAATCAACATGACCACAGTTCCAGAGGTGGTTCTTGCTAAGGAGGCTGGAATCTGTTACGCAAGTATCGCCATGGCGACAGATTATGACTGCTGGAAGGAGCATGAGGAAGCAGTAGGTGGAATTCTCTTCTGAGCACATATAGCATGGGTTTCTGGGTGCCAATAAGAGGATGTCTTAACTGTTTGTTTCTATTACATTAGTTTCAGAAAGTGCCTTTCTACAAGGTTTTAAGTTGTCAACATTTTCTATAGTTCCTATTGGAAGGTAAGAACAAAGATCATAGGAAAGAAAGGGACACTTTTACCCAAGGATTAACAGTGAATAGTACATTGTAGGCATATAGATGTGTTGAGAATCATGCTATGACCTGGTCCTTATTTTAAGGATAAAGGTGTATTTTGATTGCCAATTTCTTCTGCTGTGCTACTTTTTGTTTTCAAGAAGGAAAAAAATCTATAACTTAACCCTTTCCTCATGAGAGGGCTGTATGTTCACATCCATCTATTTAACCTACCGTGGCTGGATACTATGTTTAGCATAGAAATGTGACAGCAAATAGACAAGTCCTTAAGGAGACAACATTCTGTTAATGGAGATAGAAGTTAAGCAAACCAATATAAGAAAGCTAATGGTTATAAAGAAATAGAATGGCGAGGTACAAGGGTACAGTAGGTCAACTGAATAGAGTTGACCAGACTAAATATTTGAAGTATGAGAAGCCTTCCTGTTTTAAGTGTGATGGGCAAGAAGGGCATGATTGAGTAGAGTGGAAAGGAGGGAGACCGGGGAGAAGGGAGAGAGAGGAGGGATGCGATACAGCCGGGCCAGGCCTTATAGACCATGGTAAGGGTTTCAGATGGAAGTTCAGTGAGGGGTTCAGGCAGAGAAGGCAGCAGGATCCAGCTGGAATTTGAGGACACTGAAACAATGTCAGCTTCCAAAACAAAACAAAACTTTAAACATCTGTGTAAGTACAGGGTGGAATATAATGAATTCCAGGTACCCATCACTTAGGTTCCACAATTAGCCATGGCCAATCTTGTGTCATAGGTATGTCCCTACCTAATTCCCTCTCCCCTGCCCTCATTGTGAAGTAAATATTTTCCTAAAAGGTCTTTTTAAAATTAAGTTATAACCATGCCATCATTGTACAAAAATAGTGATATTAATTTCTTAATATAATCAACTATTCAGACTATTCCTTTTTCCTTCAGTCTCATAATTTTTAACAATTTGATCAAATCAGAATCCCTTACAATCCATACATTGTATTTTAATGATATACCTCTTGTCTCTTTTAATCTGATTTTCACCTCTTTCTCTTTTTATTCCTTGTATTACTTGAAGAAACTAGATCATTTGTCCTGTCATTTATCTCATTTTAAGATAAAGAAAGGGACAAAACTGCAGTCACTTTTGAAGTAGGGAAAAAATTTAGGGGTGACCTTTCTGAGCACATTTAGGGTAAGTGACGTCTCCAAAGAGGACTAATATTGTACCACTGTTTTAGAGAGTTGTTTGTTTTACTATCTAATTTCACGTAAAATGGGGTTAGATCTTTTTGCCATCTGTCCATCCATGTGTACAGTATTTTGGGTCGTAGATGAACACAGGTTCTTGTTTTTCATGAATTCCTTATGATGACTCCTCAGTGTAATAGACTGTTTGCTTAGTACTAGGATGCCTTTTATGTAAGAGATTTGCAAATTCTTACATTAAGTCACAACATAATATCTTATTTGGCAGCTTTGGTAACCTAAGGAACAACTCAGCCTCGTAATGTCAAGAAGCTGCTTCCAATTAATAGGAAACTCCAGCCCCTGCCACACCCTGAGAGCGGTTTGCTTCCTGCCTGTGGCTTTCTGCTCAGTCTAATAACATATGTCTCCTCCTTTGTAGAACCAGCAGTGATTTCCTTTAGTAGCCAAAGGAGGTTGGGGAAATAGTCAGCTGGAGCTACTTTTGAAAAGCAGAGAAATTAAGCTCTGTAAGTGGAAAGGCTTGAAGACAGTGTTAAATGCCACAAGGAGGGCCCACATAAAGATGGCATTATTTCAGCCAATCGTGTGTATCGTTGTGCTTTGTGCAGATGTGCAGCCTGGCGTGGCAAGAAGGATTTGGAGTTTTCTAAACCCATCTTCAGATTCTAGTTGCTCCATTTGCTTGTCACATTGGGCGAGTTATTTCACTTGTTTACTCTTCTGTAGAATGAAGCCAGGGCTCTGGGTGAGGAGTGGAGGTTGTTTAGTCATTGTTTAGTCAGTTAGACCTTGAAGGATTACTGGAAGAATTAAACCAAATGATATATGTAAAACAACTGGTATAATGCTGGCTCATAAGAGGGTGGTCATCAGACGGTGACTGATGGAGTAGGGGGGCCTGAGAGGTGGGTAGTATCGGGGAAAAGCATTTGAACTGCACCTTGAACAGAGGGTTTATTGTGGAAAGGATGTTTTGGGTGAAGCCCAACAGCTGGAACAAAGAAAAGGGAGGTCAGTATCTATACAGAAATAACCAGTCACAGGAAAAATATATAAGGCAATAAGTAAATATAAGGCAAATTTCTTGGATGCTTCATGTCTCTACATCCAAAGACTCAGCTTAAAATACATCATTTACATGTACCTGGCAGATACCCAGCCTGTCACTGCTTTGTGTTCCCATAGTAGTGCAGACTCCCCTCTGCTGCAGTCTTCATCATTTTTTCCTACACACATCTTGGTGTTTCTGGGTAGGGTCTGGACTATACTTAAGGAAATAGAAAGGTGTAATCCTTGTGTCCCTGAATGTTGGATTTCTTCGAAGCGTAGGAAGGCATGTCAAGTACTCTATCTTTGATGGTAATTTTATATTCACTTTCTTCAACTTTTTCTTATGAAGCTATTTTAGTCATATACAGAAGTAGCCAATAGCACGAGCTTCCATGAATTCAGCATCTAGCTTCAACCATTATATTAACTTACAACCAACATGATTATTGCTCCCATCAATAATTTTATCCATAAACACTTCAGGAGGTATCTAACATGAGCACATTATCATTTTCATTCTCCAATAATAATTCTTTAATATACCCAGCCAAAATTTAAATTTCTTGTTAAATGCCTTAAATTATTTTTTTGGTTGCAAGCTTTTATGAAGGAACCAGATCATTTGTCCTGTTGAGTTTCCCACAGTCTGAATTGCTGAAATGGTCTCCTTGGAGTAGTTTAATAGGCTTCTCTGTCCTCTGTGTTGTCTATAAATTGGTAGCTAGATTTAGATATTTAATCAGATTCAGGTGTCTTAAGGTAGCATTTTATTTTTTCATCAGGAAGCACATAATGAGTGGTTTATTTGGGATTTTGTTTGGTTCTGTTTGTGATGTTAGCAGCCAATCCATTAATTCACTGGGAGCCATAAAAATGGTGGTATTTTAATTCCATAATATTTTTCTTTATTAGCTGGAATAATTTTCTAAGGAGAAGCATACTTCTGTTGGATTATCCAGTGTAGCAACAGTTTTAACATTGTAATCCATTCAACTGTGGACATGAAGAGAACAGCCACATCTTTCTAGACCATACTAACCCATTATACATCTGAGATATTTTCTCAGATACCATATTGAAATCTGTATTAGTCTGTTATCACATTGCTATGGAGAAATACCTAAAACTGGGTAATTTATAAAGAAAAGAGGTTTAATTGGCTTATGGTTCTACAGGCTGTACAGGAAGTGTGATGGTGGCATCTGCTCAGCTTCTTGGGAGCCCTCAGGAAACTTCCAATCATGGTGGAAGGCAAAAGGAGAGTGAGGCATCTCACATGGTGGGAGCAGGAGCAAGAGAGAGAGAGAGAGGGGAGAGGTGCTGTACACTTTTCAACAATCAGATCTCACAAGAACCCACTGTCAGTAGAACAGCACCTGAGGATGCTGCTAAACCATGAGAAATCCAACCCCATGATCCAACCGCCTCCCACCAGGCCCCACCTCCAACAGTTCGACATAAGATTTGGTGAGGACACAGATCCAAATCATATCAGAATTCATCAGTGCTTTTCAGAGATGTCACTGAGTTTCTCCGGGACCTCCCTAGGTCTCCTAGGACTAAGACCATCTTGATAAATGCAGAACTTGAACTCAGGGGTTTAAATGTAGAATAAAAAGCCTTCACAAGTCATGTTTTTCTTACTCTGGACTGTTGTAACAAAATACCATAACATGGGTGGCTTCTGAATAACAGAAGTTTATTTTTCACATTTCTGGAAGTTGAGAAGTCCAAGATCAAGGGACTGGCACATTTGGTGTCTAGTGAGAGCCCACTTTCTCATAGACAGCCATCTTCTCATTAGAACCTCACACGGTGGAAGGGGCCCTCGAAGAATGGCACTGGGGCCTCTTTTGTAAGGTCATTAATCCTATCCATGAGGACTCTGCCTTCATGACCTAATTGCCTCCCAAGTGCCCAACCTCCAAATCTCCTACATTGAGGATTAGGTTTCAACAGATAAATTGAGGGGACACAAACATTTAGACTGTAGCAAGGCTGGAACTCAGAAAAATGTTTTATGACAAGCAGTGGAATTTTAAGTTCTAGTAACCTCCAGTGCTGTTGTTTCTCTAGGTTTCGGTGGACCGGGTCTTAAAGACCCTGAAAGAAAATGCTAATAAAGCCAAAAGCTTACTGCTGACTACTATACCTCAGATAGGGTCCACGGAATGGTCAGAAACCCTCCATAACCTGAAGGTAAGTGTCAGCCATGTACAATCAGGCATGTCTGTAGACTCTCTCTTCTTTTCTTACATGCATTTCACCTTTGGTCCTCATGTATTTTATGCCCTAGATGTTTTCAACAAGTTTTTGTGACATCTACTACCATACTACCCACTTGTGAAATTGAGTAGTCATATTTTCTGGCTGGTAATGCAAGACCATTGAGAGAGTTTTATTATCTAGTGTACCAGATTTCCACATTATCCTGCTCTGTAATATCCCTAAGTCTTACTTCAGAAGACTGATAGTGCTTTCTCTGCATATTGCTTACATTGTTGACAAAGCTATTTTCTCTTTGGCAGATCCATTCAAATTTGTGGCAATCCTTTAAAGCCAAAATTCTGACAATAGTACCAAAATGGTGCCAGAAAATATCTGCTTAAGGTTAATCATGCATCAAACTAAACAGTAATTAATGATACCTCTGGGATGTTTGTAGATTGGTAACTTTCCAACTCTAGTATTAATTCTCAGAATATAATTTAAAGCAACTGATAAACTCAGAGTTGCATGATTTTTGTTTGGGCACTTTGTGACTCTTCTTAACCACATAGGGAAAGACTTGTCTCAAACTGATCAGATATTGCATTCCCCTACTATGCAAAGAGGACCATACCTCGAAGTCTCCTAGAATACACCTGTACTTTTGGGTCTTCTGGCGGTGGTGGAGAGAGGATTTGAAAGGTTGATCTAAGCCCTCCCTACCTGAATTACCACCTAGGAGCTCTGGAATAAGAGAGCCACAGTTTTAGTATAATGAGGACGTTGTATGGTGGTAAGTGACTGCCAATCACTGGGCATGGCAGACCCTTGATTTGTAATGTTTGCTGATTTACATAGTACAAGTGCTCCAGTACGGCCAGTTTCACACTACTAATGTGAAGCCACTGACAAGTTGAGAAGTGATACACACAGTCAGCTCTTGCAAGCTGGTACGAACAGGATCCAGCACACCACTGTAACTAAGGTGTCTCTCAGCAGTTAGGACTGACAGTCAGGAATGTTGGAATTTGTAGTTTATCTTCCCTACTAAGAAACAAATCTATTGGTTTCAACACTGTATACCTAGGAGCTAAATGTTATTTAATGAATAAATGATATCCCCTTTCCCCCATGAAGTGTTTTATCATAATAGAGATGCAGGAAACCCTTATTATTAGAATTAAAAGGGAAAAAATACATTTGAGTGCAGTCAAGTGGCACAACTGGAGCTTGCATAAAAAACGCATGTTGGTTTGCCAGAAATGTGACTCGTACTATTATTAGCAAAATGTCATAGAAGTTTGCTTGTTTGTTTGTTAGAGACGGAGTCTCATTCTGTCACCCAGGCTGGAGGGCAGTGGCACGATCTCAGCTCACTGCAACCTCCGCCTCCCAGGTTCAAGCGATTCTCCTGCTTCAGCCTCCTGAGTAGCTAGGATTACAGGCACGCGCCACCATGCCCAGCTAAGTTTTGTGTTTTTAGTAGAGACGGGGTTTCATCATGTTGATCAGGCTGGTCTCAAACTCCTGACCTCGTGATCCACCCACTTCGGCCCCCCAAGGTGCTGGGATTACAGACGTGAGCCACTGCGCCCAGCCAAGTTCATTTATTTAAGTCTCCCAACTGACCCCACTTTGACCATAGTCTTTCAAAAGCTTGAAGTTAATTTCTCAAGTAATATATTTACTGTTTTAGCTTTATTTTTAAGTAAAAATGCTTGGAGAGTAGAAATCAGTGTTCTCCTTTCCTGGAGCTTCTGAAATTGTGTGGTTTTATTTGTATGCATTTTTAAAGAGGCTTAGTTTACATAACTTTCATCAGATTTTCAAAGGGGGTTATGAGATAGATAGATAGATAGATAGATAGATAGATAGATAGATAGATAGATAGATAGATAGATAGATAGATAGATAGATAGATATAAATATATATATATAGAGAGAGAGAGAGAGAGAAAATTAGGAATTCCTGCTCTAGACAAAACTGAGAATCTTGGCCTTCATTCTGTAACATTAAGGAACACCATACTAATAATCCCTTATTCTGGGGTAGTATTTTTAGTCCTCTAAGCACTGAAATATATATCATTCATTCCCTCACTAAGTCATTTCAGAAACACTTAGCACCTACTATATGTCAAGGTCTGGTTTGCAAAGTTAAAGACTTGTGATGATGATCCTATGGTGTTTGGAGATACACATAAAAATTTCAATGATTTCTTACAGTGGGATAAGGATAAGGGATAGAGGTTGCATAAACAATAATCCAGGCTGGGGGTTGGTGTGGCAGTAAGTGATTATCAGAACAATGCTCTGAGATAAGCATTATTAACCTCACTTAACAGGAAAGGGAGGTGAGGAACCAAGAGTTTAGAGTACCTAAAGTTCCACATCTGGTTAGTGAACTTGAAAATTATCTGTAGAATTTATTTAAAGTGTATGTTTCCTGAGTCCTCACTTTGATCTAGAAAATCAAAATCTGTTTTTTTTTAACAAACATCTCAGTAATTACGCCTACATGTGAATATCACTGCCTCCTTTCTTCCTTTCAGAATATGGCCCAGTTTTCTGTTTTATTACCAAGACATTAAAGTAGCATGACTGCCCAGGAGAAAAGAAGACATTCTAATTCCAGTCATTTTGGAAATTCCTGCTTAACTTGAAAAAAATATGGGAAAGACATGCAGCTTTCATGCCCTTGCCTGTCAAAGAGCATGTTGTAAGAAAGACAAGACATTGTGTGTATTAGAGACTCCTCAATGACTTGGACAACTTCAAAATACAGAAGAAAAGCAAATGATCAGTAAACATGTGGGAAAAAATATTACATTGTAGAGGGAAAAAAAAACCACCATTATCTTCTCCCCCTATTAAATTTGCAACAATAAAGGTTGGAAGGTAATCTCTACTTTCCTATACTGCCAAAGAATATGAGGAAGAAATGGGACTCTTTGGTTATTTATTGATGCGACTATAAATTGGTACAGTATTTCTGGAGGGCGATTTGGTAAAATGCATCAAAAGACTTAAAAATACTGATGTACTTTGTGCTGGGAACTCTACATCTAGGAATTTCTCTTTAAAACCGTATCAGAGATACATACAAAGAATTACATATAAAGAAGGGTGTTTAATAATGATAGTTATAATAACAAATAATTAAAACAATCTGAATACCCAGCAATTGGAGGCAAATTATGTCTTAGTTATAATTAGATTGTGAATCAGCCAACTGAAAATCCTTTTTGCATATTTTAATGTCCTAAAAAGACATGGTTGCTCTATATATGAAATGAAAAAAGGATGCGGTAGCATTTTATAGTACTAGTTTTGCTTTTAAATGCTGTGTAAATATACAACAAAACTAGAAAGAAATATATATATAATCTTGTTATTGTATTTAGGGGAGGGATACTGGGATCATTTTTATTTTCTTTGAATCTTTCTGTGTCTTCACATTTTTCTACAATGAATATAATCAAATAGTAAAGTTGTTGTAAAAATAAAAATGGATTTAGAAAGATCCAGTTCTTGAAAACATTGTTTCTGGTAATGAAGCAGAATTTAAGACGGTAATATTAAGGTGAATGTCATTTAAGGGAGTTACATCTTTATTCTGCAAAAGAAGAGGATCATTGATTTCTGTACAGTCAGAACAATACTTGGGTTTGCAACAGCTTTCTGAGAAGAGCTAGGTGTTTAATAGTGAGGTAGTCTAAAAGCAAACTATTTAAAAGACTAAAGGCACATTTTATGGTGTCTGATGTTTTAAGAAGTAATGTTTGATTCTCCTTTTTATGAGTTAAATTATTTTACACAAGTTGGTGATTTTTGCTTTTTAATAAAGTGGAAGCTTGCTTTTTTAACTCTTTTTTATTGTTAATTTTATAAAAATGGCTTTTTGTTTTCTTCAGGTTTTTATCATGGGGAGATATTTTTCCTCAGAATTATTTTCTTTTCACTGTAGACTATTACAGGATACTTAAGGATCAGGATACAGAACCTTTTATTTAAAAAGTTTGTAAAGTCAATGTGTTTGTTTGTGTCTGTGAGATTGACTTCAAGATAATAAGCTGCTGATTGTAAACAAAACAGTTACTCTCCATTATTAATTTGAGTCATTAGTGTGAGCCATTTGGGTCATGTATGATTATGACCCTTGGATTCCCTCATGTAGTATTAAATTTCAACTCTGGTTATCCATTAGCAATCCGTAGAGAACTTAATGAACCTGAACCCAGGCTTCTCTAGCTCTGTAACCTGTGATTGTTTTCGCTACAATATGGTACATAGATGGTACCTTACTTTTCCTCATTCTTAGTAGGTGTCTGAATGTCAGGGCAAAAATATGGGCATTTTTCCTGCTGTGTTCAGAAAGTACAGTTCTCTCCAACTTGCAGAGGTACTTTTCTTGATTAAATAGCCTTCTCTAGCAACATCATTTTCAGACTAACCAAATGAATGCAGTATACTCTTTTCTTTCACCCAATCATTCATGCCTTACGCAAAGCCAATATACTTTTCCTCATACCTTATGCTTGAGGATATTGTTGAAGAACACTTCCTGGAACACTTCTCACTTGTGATGCTGTACTAGTTTTTTTTTTAATTATTATTTAAGCTAGTATATTAAGTGAACACCATGGTCAGTTGTGAGCATTTTGGTTTCCCCAAAGGATGAATGGTGAGCATCATGAGAAGCTGTAGTTTAGTGACTTAGCCCTTACTGATTAATAGATTTGCATGTACATAGAAGTCTTTGTTGGCATAATCTGCTGTTGTGTTTGGCATTGATTTTCATGGTTTTGAGAGTGACATCCTGGCCCTGTGGTCCCCGAGGGTCATGGTCCTTATGACCTGTACCCTGTTCACTGCCCCCTTCATTAGCATGAGTCGCTGTGCAGGGCCAGAGGTAGCTACCATGGCTTGGTTCAAGGAAGAAAACTCCGGGACAGTGGCACCCTCAGGAGCAGAGGACAGCGAACTTCCTTGAAGAGGGAGTGACTAAGGTGACCCCCAACGTGCCCTGAGCCAGCCACCCTGCAAGTGCCATGTGAGCCTGCTCTGGCATCCACAGGATGCTCCTGGAGCCTCTTCTCTGGCTGTTACTTCAGGGGCATGGTTGTGACCACAGCAACACGTATTTTCCAAATAATTATTCATTCTTGTGACAGTGGCCTGAACATGTTTTTAATTTTCTCAACAAGCATTTAGCCAGCACTTATCCAGTGAAACAATTTGATAAGGTTTCGAGGAGCATCTGCTGGGTTAGGAAGTCACGGACTGAGGAGTTTGTGCCACAATTTCTAGAGTGCCTCCTTGATGTGTTTTGGCTGTGTTCCCACCCAAATATCATCTTGAATTGTAGTTCCCATAATCCCCACATGTTGTGGGAGGGACCCAGTGGGAGGTAGTTGAATCATGGGGGTGGTTACCCCCACGCTGCTGTTCTCATGATAATGAGTTCTCACAAGACCTGTTGGTTTTATAAGGGGCTTTTCCCCCTTTTGCTCGGCACTTCTTCCTGGCATCATGTGAAGAAGGACGTGTTTGTTTTGCCTTCCACCAAGGTTGTAAGTTTCCTGAGGCTTTCCCAGCCATGTGGAACTGTGAGTTAATTAAACCTCTTTCCATTATAAATTACCCAGTCTTGGGTAGTCCTTTACAGCAGTGTGAGAACAGACTAATACACTCCTCAAATGTTTTGAAGACTGTTGCACCTTGGAACACCAGTGTGCATGGAATCCGGCTTAATATATGTATTGGCCCAGCAAGGCAAAGAACTGAAGTTTCAACATGGAAGAACCTGTGTTGTCCTCATAATAGTATAGAATAATTCAAGATAGGCAAGAAGGACAGCAGTGAATGAAGACCGTGGAAGAAAAAAAGGAATGCCAAAGATAGAGGAAATCTACCAAGACTAGTAGGGTAGTCCAGAGGAAGCCGTTTCAGGGCCTGTTGCCAGCTATGCCTTTGAGAACCTTGGGATCCAGAAGAATGAGGGGAATTTCTTCAGAAAGACAATTTCAGCGTGCATTATTTCTTTGTTTTGGAGATTCACTCATGTTGTTGCATGCACCTCTAGCTTGTGCCCTTTTGTGCCTAGTAGTATTCTGTCATATGCCTATCTTACAATTTGATTATCTGTTCACCTGTTGATGAATGTTTGAATTGTTTCCATTTGAGGAATTTTACGAATAAAGCTGCTATAAGCATGAAATTACAAGTCTTTTTGTGAACATATTTTCACTTGTGCAAATGCCTACACTCCCACCAGTAATTTTTTTTTTTTTTTTTTTGAGACGGAGTCTCGCTCTGTCGCCCGGGCTGGAGTGCAGTGGCCGGATCTCGGCTCACTGCAAGCTCCGCCTCCTGGGTTTACGCCATTCTCCTGCCTCAGCCTCCCGAGTAGCCAGGACTACAGGCACCTGCCACCTCGCCCAGCTAGTTTTTTTGTATTTTTTAGTAGAGACGGGGTTTCACAGTTCCACCAGTAATTTACAAGAATTCTTGACAAAGCTTGGTATTGTCAGCGTTTTTAATTTTAGCCATTCTATTGGGTCTATTTTGATATCTCACTGTGGTTTTGATTTGCACTTTTCTGATTGAAAATGTTGAACTTCTTTTCATGTGCTTATTGGCCATTCACATATTTTGTGAACTATCTGTACAAATATTTTTATTTAAAAATTAGATTGTTTTGCTTTATTATTGAATTGTAAGAATTGTTTATTCTGGATATACTCTTTTTCAGATACATGTATTGTGACTATTCTTAGTCTTTAGCTTGCCCTTTCATTTTCTTAATGATATCTTTCAAAGAACAAGTGTTTCATTTTGACGAAGCCTAGTTTATCAATTTTTTTTATGGTTGGTTCTTTTTGTGTATTCCAAGAAATCTTTGCCTACTGATTGAATTACCTGTGTGCCCTTGTCAAAATCAATTTACCGTTTATCTATGGATCTGGATGATCTATTTATGTCATTTATCTGTGTCTCTTCTTATGCCAGTACTCTACTGTCTTGATTATTGTGGCTTTATGGTGTCTTGAAATTAAGTATTGTTAAGCCCTGCAGTCTTTTCCAAGATTGTTTTGTCTATCAGGTCCTTTCTTTATAAAGTTTATATTAAGCTTGTCCATTTTTCTTTAAGAAAAAAAATCTGCTGGAATTGCTATTGGGATTGCACTGAATTTTTAGGTCGATTTGAGAAGAATTTACAATATTGAACCTTTCAATCCATGAACATGGTATGTTTCTGCAGTTATTTGGGTCTTTTAAAATTTTAAATTTATCTCAGCAATGTTTTGTAATTTTAGTGAAGAAGTCTTGTATATCTTTTGTTAAATGTATTCCTAAATATTTTGTGGAAATGTCATTGTAAATAGTACTTTAATTTCATTTTTAAGTTTATTGCTGGTATACAGAAATACGTTTTATTTTTTTATATTGACTTTATATTCTGTAATCTTATTAAATTCAGTTAGTTCAGTAGTAGTTCTTATTTTTATTTTATTGCAAGTGCCTTAGGGATACCTTGTGTACACAATCATTTCATATATGATTAACAACAGTTTACTTCTTCTTTCCAGTCTTTACCTTTTATTTCTTTTTGCTTTGTTGTATTGGCTAGGACCTTCAACCTAATGTTGAATAGAAGTGGTGTGAGTTGTTATTCTTGTCTTACTCTCAACAGCAGGGGACAGCGTCTAATTTTTCACTATTAAAATATGTTAGCTATAAGTTTTTTCTGTTTCATGTTTTTATCAGATTGAAGATCTCTTTTATTCCTATTTTGCCAAGAGTGTCATGAGTGCGCTTGAATTTCGCCAAGTACTTTTTCCTGCATCTACTGAAAAAATCTTGATTTTTTTCTTTTATTTCGTTAATGTAGATTCTTTAATGTTAAACTGATCTTGCATTCCTGGTACAAACCTTACTT